TGAAACTAGCTTATAAAATCTAATGAGTGTGCTTGCTTTTCTGTGTTTGCTGGCCTTCTCCTTTCCTTGGCTGCAATTCTAATGCATCAGCTGTTATGCTGTAAAGCTACAGCAAAATGTAAGAGAGCTTTTTTGTTTAGCCATTATCCATGCATGTCACTGATTTGTTCAAATCTAAAGAAATCTGAACAAACCAACCCAGTCCTGAGGGCAGGAATGTGAAGATGCAGAGGAAAAGCATTGCTTAAGGGCCACAGTTACATGAAGGAGTCATTCCCCTCATAAAGCTGCTACAGTTTTAAAAAGGTGTGAATCCATGATGTCACCCCTGTAGCAGTTTTGCCCTGTCCCCACAGTCACAAATTTACCCGTGCTTTCAAATTGACTCCTTCAAAACTCACAGCTTGCTCGCTGGCGTGCAGCTGCCACAATGTGGTTTGGCCCAGGGGCCATTCCCTCTGCTCCTGCACCCACATAGCCTATGCCGGCTCCTTTGCATTGCTCCGTTGGGTCAGGGAGGGTAAAGGTGGAGAATAAACATTATTGTGAGAAACACAAAATGCTGAGGGCTTTTAGTGGTAGTAAACTTCTCTCTGCTTTGTTCAAGCAGAATCAAGTGCTTAAATAGAGAAAGGACTGGGAGGAGGAATGATGTAGATTTCCGGAGGAAGCTGTGATCAGGCCAATGCACTCTTTTAAACTCAGCAGTTGTTTTAATGAAAAGAACAGTTACGATGTTTTAGCCCTGCCGTATTCCTTCTGATGTGCTCAGATACACCTTTTGTTTTAAAACACTGTGAATGTATCTGATTTTGAATATGAGCTGTCTTTAGTAAAAACAGCTTTTCTTGGTCCTTTTGGATTTTTCTTTTTTTTTCCTTCTGACCATTTTCTTCCCCAAAGTGTGTGTACATCTCAGAGTTTCACCTTCCTCAGTTTGAACAGTCTCCTTGTAGTGACTACTTTTCAAAAACTGAATTGCTTTTGTGGTATCTCTAAACTCCTTAGTTTAACCACAGGGTGAAGCTGTTTCATTTTACAATAAAAACCTTATCTTCTTCCCTAATAGAAGTTTCAGCATGTTTCTGTCTTCCTTCATACTTAACACACTTCCATTTATATTAGATAGTTGAGTTTCCTTCTGCAAACTCACTAAGGCCTTTCTTCCCCTTTCCAGAATCGCAGTGAAAGCTCACGTGGTTTCATTAACAGCAGCATTCTGCAGGCTGTTGTCTCAACTGATTGAACTAAACTAGAGGAGAATTTTGAAATTAGAGATTTTCAAGTCTGCTCTCTTAATTTTGGGGAATACCTTTGTGGGGAAGAGCATCCCACTGAGAACCATGCCTCCAGGAGTTCCCCCTCCAGTGGCCACTAATTCATCTGGTGAAAACAAAAACATGGATATGAGGAAGAAATATAGATAGATTCAGGAAGTGAAACTGGGTTTCCCAAGTGCCTCTGCCTGGCTGACAGGGCATAGCATCACCTCAGTATGGCTCCCTCCTTCGGTAGGCTAGACAGCAATGCCAGGAGACGAGGATGTCATGAATTCTGGTAGAATTACACAAGTCACATCCAAACAACAAAGCTGGGAAAAAGTCTTCTGCTTTCTCCCTATACAAGTGTAGCTGTCTGAACATCTGACTGAAACTTTCCTATCTGTCAAGAGAAAACATAAGCTGTGCACTTTTGGATATAGTAATGAAACCTGGATGCAGTTTTGGTTAGCTAAGGCTTCTAGTGTGGCATCCTTCTACATCGTAATCCTTGAAATGTCACAAGCAATTGGTATCTGCCATTTGTACAGGAGAAACGGAAAACCTGAGAGCTCCATTTGAGGGCTCAGCAACAAACCCAGGGATGATCGCGCTCGCTCTCTACTCTGCCCTCTTCTCCTACTCGGGATGGGACACGCTCAACTATGTCACCGAGGAAATGCAGAATCCCAAGAGGTAAATGTGTGCTTTTTCTTTGAATCACTGAGCTGTCCTGGTAAGACAGGTGGTGGTAGGACAAGCCGCTCTGTATTTGTTTCTGATTGGAAATTAGTCAAACTATTTTCTCTGCAAAAACCATCTTCTTTTCAAAAGGAGTAAGTATGAGAACTCTTTCTGATTATTGTCCTTGCTCATCAGCTATATCACACTAATAAATCACTTGTCTGCATATATGTATTTTACACTTTACACTTCAGACCAGAATTTTTAATGGAGGAGAACAAATACCTGGAGAAAGCAGGGAGAAACATGGGTCCATCTAGCCCCCTAAAATTCCATGCTTTTTTCAGCCAGACAGAACAAATATTTTATTTTTCCAGGACTGGTTTTGCCACTAGTAGATTAAGACTGTGTCAAGTTTATGACTGTTTTACCATGTGATCTTCAACATTGCTATTTATGGGCAAAATGTTCAATTTTGCTAAAGATGAAAGGTTAAGTAAATAAAACAAAGTCCACAGTATCACTGGAAATATCATCTCCTCCCCTCTGTAGGGATGTCAGCCCTGTGGGAGTTGGCTGCCTCACCTACTCAGACTGATATAGTCCACCTTACCTTGGGACAGGCATATGTTATGAGTCAGGAAAAAAATGCTATGATCAAGAAAACACCTAAGTGTGCATTTAAACCTCATTGCTTAAGTGCTCTCTTAAATTGCTTTGTCTAAAAGACAGTATATATAATTTACACATATAAATGTACATTTTTTTCTCTAAAACTTGTCACAGACCCACAAGCAGCCAACTAAGATGATTATGGAATTGTTCCACAATGGCTGCATGTTATTTGTAACCCCATGATTACAAAGTGTTGCATTACAAAAAGTGATGGAGGCATCCATTCGAAAATGTTTGAATTTGGGAACAATCTTCTATTTAAATATTCTTTATTTAAGAACATGAAATAATTTTGCCATTTTCCTTTTACAGGAATCTACCTCTTTCTATTGCAATTTCAATGCCTATTGTGACTGTTATTTACTTGTTGACTAATATAGCATACTACGTAGTGTTGGACATGTCAGCTCTCCTCACAAGCGATGCAGTGGCTGTTGTAAGTTGTATAAAATAATTAAAACCAAAGTTACTGTATGTATGACATTGCAGAAAAATCTCAGGTAGCATACTTCTTGGCAAAACAATTGAAATATTTCCATGCTGAATGCTGTTGCTTTGTTTTAAACTTTGTTTTCATGTAAGAGTACCAGTGTATTGGAAGGTGCATATAAAGAACTTATCCAATAAATCTGCTCTTGTAAAATCCTGTTACATACTCTGTAAATCTTGCTCCTAACAGCACTTAATTGTAGAAGAAACTTTTGCCAGGGCCAGAGAGAGAGAACGCTATGGAACATTTGGGTGGTTTAAGAACCAGGGGTTTTTTGCTGTCATTCTAATGTACAGTATGTGATGTTTAATCCTGCAGGATCACAGCAATATTTTCAAGACAAAAACATGCAGTGAAAAACCTTGTCAATATTTTATACAAAAGTACAATTATAACTCATGGATTACCACAGTCAGGATTCGTCAAAATACATTAAAGCAAATATGTGTTATTCTATTGTCTCATTGACTTGATCTACACTTAGAAATTTTTTTTAAATAATTTTTTAATGTATCTGCCATTTTTATTTTGATACTGATCAGTCCAAATTCTAATTTCCCACGTCATTATCAGATATCATAAGAAAGCATGGGCTACGACACTATATTTGGGCTGGTGTGCTTTCATGAGAGTTTCTCAGGGTTGTCTATAAGCTTAACATAACTGGCCTCACTATGATTTTCTTTTTCTGTTACAGACGTTTGGTGGTGAAACCCTTAGTTATGCTAAGTGGATAATTCCTATAGCAGTGGCCATGTCTTGCTATAGTGGCTTAAACTCATCAATAATTGCAGCATCTAGGTATGAAATATAAGATTTATTTTAATTAATTGAAAAGGAATAATTTATTTTTAATCTGCATTCTTTACTACTGCATTGTAAAAGTGACACAGTTAATTTTTGCCATGTCAAGGTGTTCATTTGTGATGGAAGGGTCATTACAATCTGATGTGTCTTCTCATGATCAGCACCAATTGATAAACTAAAGCCACTTGAGAAGAGAGCAGCATTTACAACAGAGTAATAAAAGAATTAATGCTGCCTTTGTCAGAGAGCAACAAGCTATTCCTTGGCTCACTGTCTGGTTGAGTTTTCTTATTCCTTTTTTTAGGCTTTTTTATGTTGGAGCCAGGGAAGGACACCTCCCTGACAGTCTTAGCTTGATTCATATAAAGTGCTTCACACCAGTCCCTGCTCTTCTCTTCAATGTAAGTGACAGCCAGGGGTTCAGACCTGGGGAGTATAACACCTCACCTCTGCCCAGTGTTTCTCCCAGGCTTCTCCTGTGCTGGAGACATCTTTCTCAAATGCCCACAATTTCTAAAACACATTGAGGGGGGGTGGGAGTGGTCATGGTGTTATTTTGTCTGGTGTGGATTTTTTCAGTGGAAAGAGAACAGCTTGATTCACATTAATATGCTCTCTGACCAAGATTAGTGAGGACTGAGTGCCACAGCATTATTTAGAAAACTGAGAATGGCTAAACATGTAACCATATAGACAGGAGTTGTTTTAAGTCTTTATGTGAGTTTTCAGAGTGCTACTGGAGAAAAGTATGGCAGGAACATCTCTCAGATCCTGCCGTAGGCTGATTTTCTAGAACTCTAGTTATAGCAGGAGTGACAAAGCACTTAAAATTATATTCCTACCATTGGATGCCTGTAGCCGTGTTGACTTTTTCCTGCTGTCACTATACAAACGAATCTTGTGACAAGAAATTGAGGAACCACAAGGTATAGAATTAGTGCAAATTATTTCAATAAATAATGCATAAATCTAACAGATTAAAATAGGGGGGAGGGTATGAACAAACAGAGAAAGTGGAATCATTCAAAGGTATTTCACTGCTGTTTACGTGAACATGTAATTTATTTGGTGTCTTCCATTGCCCTGTGTTACCTAGATTATCATACTGGTCCTGTTTGACATGAAATAATTTACTAAAAATTATAATCTCGTTATGAATACTTTTCTCAGAGGGATTCTGTTTGCACCATTAATATGAGCTATACTCCCTTAATACACAACCATTCCTGTTTTTCACAGTGGATTTTTTTTCTGCTCATCTGTTAAAAAGGACATTAAATTCCTGGTATTTTAGGTGTTTCCATGCAGGCAGTATAGCATACCACAGAATTTACTCTAGTGGTCTAAATGTATGAGTGGACTGTGAAAACCTCCAACAGTGAAACAAATTGAAAGCTTGCTTTCAAACTGAAGCGAACCAGAACAGCAGAGGAAGCCGCTGCCTACAGAAAGATTCTTAGCATCCTTCTTCATGGCGCAGCAGAGTCTGGGGCTCCTCATCTGGCCTTCTAAGGAGGGTTTCCTGCTGGTGCTGAAACATGACTTCACAAACCAAACACCTCTTCAGCCAAATGTGGTGGTCTCACTGCTGTGTTTAAGGAAATGATACCAGCATGTTTCACACAGCATATTTGCAGATTTCTCAGTTTTAGGTACATCCTTCTTGCAAGGACCTCATCTCCTAAATTCAGACAAATATGTTGGAAACAGCCTGTTTTATAACTTTACTACCTCTTTATTTTGTAAGACATGTCTTTTTTTTTTCACACTAAAAGGTCTTTGATTTTATTATCTCTAGGGCTTAATGACTTTGCTTTATCTCCTTGTGGAAGATGTTTTCCTCCTCATTAATTACTACTGCTTCAACTACTGGCTCTTCGTGGGTCTGTCTATTGCAGGACTAATATATTTGCGATATACTCAGCCACGTAGACCACGGCCTATTAAAGTAAGTAAACAAGAAAGGAAACAAGCCCTAAAAGCCAGTTAATGCATGTGTTTATGTGATCCTTAATACCACAACCATAACATTCCCAGTTATGTTATAGACTATTTATCAGCCATAGAAATCCTTTTGACATACAAGATAGGAAATGAAGGAGCGAAAGCCATTTGAGTTTCCACAAGAACAGCTGATCTGGTACTTTTGCTGTGAGGTTGAAATGATATTTACCATTTCTTTTTCCTTTCATTCAACCTTATAACTATCTAAATAAATAAGGAATAAATAAATGCCTGGGGTTCTTAGCCCATCCTGGAACATCCCCTTTTCTACTGTTCACAGCAGACCTCAGTAGAGGTAGTGATGGGGGCTCCAGAGAGGTTAACACTCTGATCAAACTTACATGACTGAATAAATTCAGCAAAATCCCTCCAAAGCCAGTAAACACCCAAAATTCTGCTCAAACAGAATTTCAAAAGCTTGAATAATCAAATATATTTTGATTGTTCCCTCCCACGGCATAGTGGTCATAGACAGTAAAATTCAAGTTTAACGATTGACTGTAGAAAAGCGTGTGGCTATCAGTTAGGAAAGGGAGACTGCACAGAAACAAAGCATGCTTAAAACTTGTTTCTAGGTTTAATCCAGTGACTGTCCAGGAAGCAGGGTTGGAAATGCACAGCTTCCCCCGGGCACACAAAGCCACGTTCTGGCTGTTTCACTGCACGCTGTTGGCTCCATGACCTGCATTTCTGCTCTACAGTCATGCAGTAAAAATTATGAGAAATTCAAATTAAGACCCAGTCTAAACATTTCTTCCTTGTCACTCTCTCTTCCTAATCTTCTGCAACATTTTCACCAACTTCTTTTCCATTTAAGTGTAACATCCTGATTATAAAAAATATATAATTCAAACAAAGGCATAAAATGTCCTAAGCACCTACTTCTGGAAAACCTGCCAGTCTTCCAGAGCAGACCAAATTTTCCTGAAGCGTGTTCAAACTTCATTTCCAAACTCTCCCCCAAAATATGTGGAAAATGAAGATTAAATCTTGCCTTATTGGCAGTTTTGTTACTGACTCTACTAAAGCAAGGATTACAATCAGATTATAGATAATGACTGTTTAATTCCTATCAGCATTTGTCAGCTTAGTCAACATCACAACTCCGTATACACTTTTTCCTTTTCTGAAATGTAGCAGTTGGTTTTCATCGACTTACATTTTTAACCTTTATAAGGAAAAAGAGTATTTATACCAGTAAACTCTCAGGATTTTCAGTTAGTATTCAAATGTCAACTCCTGAACTCTCGAGAAGGCTCATTACTACAGGCAGTGAAAAATATTTGTGCTAAGATATTTGTTAAGTGCCCAGGCAAAATGGTTGTAAATCAGTCCATTAGTTCTGTAGCATCAACATAGTAATTGAAAGTCTAGCTGAGTTAGTTCCCAATCAAAATTACAATTCAAAATTTGCAATTGAAGTTAGAGGGAAAACTACCCATTACTGCTTAATTTTAAAGTACTGCTTTCAAAGATGGATTCTAACTAACTGGAAAGGAATTGAGTTTGTGCAGGCCTGAAAATGACAAAATGGTCAGATACTCAGGTGTGTATCACATAAGAGGCTCTCAGCAGCATGCACAGAAGCTAGCAAATTGTACTGACTGTAGGCAGTCAAAAGATTCAGTACGTAGTAATCATATAGTCAATATCTATATTTTTATTATTGACACGTTTATCTTTTATCTGCAAAGCTTGACATTTTTACAATACAGTATTTACTGCATCTTTTAATAAATGTTGGATTTCTTTTTTGTCTCCACAGCTTAACCTCTTCTTCCCTATAGTATACTGTTTATGTTCCCTTTTCCTGGTCATAGTTCCTCTCTACAGCGACACAATCAATTCCCTTATTGGCGTTGGTATTGCCCT